CGCAAGGAAAACGTTCTCTCTGTGGAGACTGAAATACCTCATTTTTAAACACATACTATGATGAGTTTTGGGAGTTCTGTTTCAGTTAAGGAAACTCTTGTTTACAGAAGATATGTTGAGTTTACCTCACAGCCACAAAAGTCCTGAAGAAAATAAGCAAAGCACTGGATGACATTTATGTGTTTCTGGCAATCTTTATTGGAATAGCAGATGAACACTTTTGGTCGGGGACGAAGTCTTTCCACATGGAGACCTGCAGCATATGCTGAAGATTCTGAGCTCTCCTCATCTAGATGGGAATATATATTTTCTAAATTGGAAGAGAGAAAGAGAATTCACACTGTAAAACTTGGCTTTGTTTTCCTTTTTAAAACATTTGTAGGCTCATTACTAATGCATACAGTAATGGCTTTCTAAAAAATGTATTTATTTCCTTTCCAGCCTAAAAAAAAAGTTGCACAGGCTCTATTTCTCCAGCTTATGAGTTGCTACACATGTGGAACAAAGTTTCAAAGGGAAATGCACCATTATTACTGTACAACTCAGAAAACTTAAGAAACATTTATTTTATAAATAAAATGAGGCAGTATCACCTCTATCCAGCTTCAGTCTTCACCTCTTTGTTAAAATACTACAAGCCTTAAAGACGTATCATCATCAAGAGTTTCCTGAGTAGCAGAGTTTCTTGTTTTAACAAAAAAATAGGAAAAAAAAAATAAATCACAAAACAAATCTGGTAAGAACATTAAATTCCAGGAACACAGATTCCTTCAGAATATCATACAGTATCTCTGTTATAAAGATATACACATGCTTGGAAATTCATTTGACATTAATTTGAATTAAGCTATGATTAATTTAAATAAAATAGCTATTAGTGTTTCTTTCCTTGTAGAGATGCTTTTATGCTGGAACATTCAATCTGTTCTTATGCCAGACTAATTCAATCTAGTTCTACAGTTGATTAAGCTAATTTGGAATAAAGCATGAGTATTTCAAAATACAAATATCCATCTAGGGATTTAATTTAGAACAATTAATCAGGAATAACTGTTCTGGAACAACTCTCTCTGTAGACAAATCCTTCGTGATTTGTCTGGATTTTTTGGTGGAACTGTGCTAGCTGTGAACAAAGGGACAGCTACAGAAGACAAGAGGATAAATGGATTTAACTCAGATGGCATATAGCACTTGCAGTAATACCTAAACGCCAAAATTCAGATGGATAACACAGATATGTGAGGTTTGGGGAAATAATCTCTTTTTCCACATTTATGAAACTGTATGATTCCCTAGATTCTACAAAATATGCCAACTGCTTTTTATTATCTCAGTGTAAAAAGTGTGGCTTGCCAGCTCCTGGACACATAGGAGAGAGAAGTCAGTGAAGAGAGAGGGAATCTAACTTAGAGAAACATCTGCAAGTAAGTTTTAGAGTAAATTTAGGAATATGGCTTAGGATGAAGTGTAAAGGCAACTTCCAGGAAAGTGAGCAAATCTGGAATCATAAATACAGGTAGTATTCCAGACAGTTATGGGAATTGTATTGGTATCAAGTGGCTTTACTTTCCTTCTCATTTAAAATAAATATGAATTAGGTATTTCTGAATTAAATAAATGAATGTTTAAAATATATCTAATTTACAGATCTGTTTGTAGGCTACATGGCCATGCAGTATGCTCACAAACAAAAAGAAACCTTAAACCAAAGATACTTCCCAATGTCAATTTTCCTTTCTCTCCTTTCTACAGTGAAGCCCTGATCTGTGCTACAATACTTTCTCAGGCAACAGATTAGCATCAAGCACTGATTGAGAATTTGCTACAACTTTCAACATACAAAAAAGCTGTGGGGAGGAAGGAGGGAGAGGTAAAAAAGGCAACGAAAGCACTTCAGATGAAGATATTTCTGGAAAACAACTGCCAGTTAAGACTCCTTTTGTTGCAAAAGTGCATGTCAGATGAAACCCTGTACTGAAAAAACGCTCTTACCTTGCTGTTTCTTGCGGCACATCACTGTGAAAAGTGTTGCAAATGCTGAAATGACAACTAAAGGCACTGTGATGGCAATAGCTCTTATTGGTCCAGCCCATGGAGAATGTACTTTGAAAAATAAAGCAGAATTAGCCATATGGAAACAAACTGAATTACGATTATCTAATAAAATATTCATACTTAGAATGAACACTGGTGCAGTAAACTTATCAGGTAATTCTTGAACACACAGTGGAATCAATCATCATGTTCTGCTCCATTTTAAAGAGGTTTTATGCAGATTTTCCCCAGCACTACAGCATTAGAGTGAGTATCATAAGTAAGAAGTGCTGTGTGCTAACTCATATCTCCCTCCCTCCATGAAAAGGACTTTACATGAAGTGTAGTTTTGATAAATATACAAATAGTCATTTTGACCTGAAAGATTTTTATTCCAGGGTGCTGAATTAGCCACTTAGAAATCACTGTCCTCCTGCACATACTACCTTTTAGCCATGCACAGTAGGATTAAGTCTATGTTGCCCATTGCCTTCATCTGTGGCTGTTTTGTGCCTGCAGTTACATTCTGAAATCCCTATTTAGCTTCTCAGTAACTGGTCTGACACACAGACATGCCAAGCATTTGCCTCACACATTTCCTAGATGGCTTAATCTGATTTCAGGGCTGAAGTACAAGGCAGGTAACACGTTCAGGCTGCTCTCAGTTGTATTAAATTATTTCCACATTACTTCATCCATCAGTTCCATGAGATTAACACACAGGCTATGATTCTTCATATCCATATATACAATCAAAGTGGCTTTCCCATAAAATGCCTTCCAAGGATATATTAATCCAAACTGTACTAAATATAAATGTACAGAGATACAGATGTGTATGCACAAGTGTCCATGTCTGCTCTTTTCTCATTAGGTCAAGAGATCACAGCACAAGTGCCTCAGTGGTCTTGATTATGGCAAACTGACACAGGTCAAATCAAGATTTATTTCCACATAACTGAAATGGAATTTAAATTTATTAAGGTAAATACTGTATACTGTTTAAAAAACAAAAATCATACCTGGTTTTAGCGCATAGTGCATTGTTTTCCTTGTTGTATTAGTGTCATCAACCAGCTTTGAAAAGTAAAAATTACACTTTATTTTGTGGAAATGTAGGTTTATTTATTTTCTGCAATATGTAAACATCTATAACAACTTTCATGAACAAATGACCAGAAATTTATTGTTAAAAAATTTCAAATTAAAGAGCACCACAAACTAGTAATTTGTGACTTCATTTTCCTTTGTTGGAACATAGTTTAACGTTGAAACATCAACTTCCAGAACTTCCAGACTATCATCATCAAGAGAAATGCCCACCTTTTACATGTAATAAAAATTGACCTAACTACAGAAATTCCATGACCAAAATCAAATTCCAATAATTATACAGGCCCACAACTTTACTTGAAGGCACAGATTAAACTGGCATGCACTCAGGGAAGCAAAGCTATGGAAAAGCCAAGAACAATCTGTTTTAAAACTTTTACTTGCCCAAGGTAATTCAGTAGGAATGTCTGAAGTCCAATTTTACCGAAAAGTGACTTGAAATAATTTAATTTCAGTTAACTTATCCATAAACATACTCACTCAGCTGTTGTATAAATGACTAGTTATAAACATTACCTCAATTATATAGTCCCCTGGAGATACATTCTGAAGAACACAACTTGTAGTATCTGTGTTTTGTTCCTACATCAAAGAAAAACAATACTTTGCAAGCCATTCACATATTTTTAAAACTTAACATCTACATTATATCCTGGGGCTCCCTAACCTTCAGAGACTAGGATGGAAGGTTGACCAGTGATAACAAACTTGACATTGAATAAGTAACCAAAGTTAGGCACGCAGCTGCCCAGAGAGCCTAATTCCATGCACATCTTAAAATGAGAGCTATCTTGTGATACTATCTCAGATGGCAGGAAAAAGCAGGAAATAATATGTATAACAAACATAATACAACAGCAGTTTGAAGTACTAAATATTTGTGGGATCTTCAAGAGAGAGAACAGACTCTTCCCATTTGCTTTTACTATACAGCTCTGATGAGGCCCTCAAATTTTGCCTGGTAAGTGCTACCAGAGTACATTTATTATTTACATAAATAATACAAAATTGGTTAAAAAAATTAAAAACTGATGCTATATTAAGTTCTTAAAGGTCTATAAAACATCAGAACATCTAATATGTTCATAGGATTGGTGCTTTTAAGGGTTGTGAAACTCAGCGACCTACCTGTTTGCAGGCCTTTTGCTTAAATGGCCCTTCATGTTTCAGTTTATAGTGAAGAAAGTAGTACCTAAACCCGAAGTTGTGAGGTGCATGATCAAAGGACACTTGCATGTTAAAACCTTGCTGGGTAACATTCAGATTCCTTGGCTTCCAGTCTGTCAAGGGAGATATCGATACATTGGAAAAAAGTGACTCTTTCAAGTACAGTAACTTTTAGTGAGATGAATTTACAGGCAGTATTCTACTTACAAGGTTTGCAGACAAGGTTTTCTGGCTGTAGCAACAATTCACATGCTACAAATAAAGACAAAAATTATTAATGATACAGTATCAAAATGCTTTGCTAATCAAATAGAAAGAGGGCAAAAGAAGGGAGTTCATAGGTTTGAAGACAATACCCAGAACTTCTTTCCCAATTTCTACTATGCCTAGAGTAAATATATTTTGCAAACTCAGCTTCTTTTTTATGATTTCAAGTCCCTTCTCATCTTTATGTGAGAAACACAGGTTCATTAATTTGAAAACATGACTCCTCAGTGAGACAAAAGGGATAGAGCCAAGCACAGCACAGCAGGAGAAAAAGTTGAAACTATCCTTAAATGCCATTACTCAGAGTAATAACTATGCTGAGCACTACTACTAAGATAAAAGTTACTGTGGTCTGCATCAACAGAAGTCTTAAAAACATTTTTTAAAACTTTTATAAAGCAAAAAAAGCTAAGTAGGACAAATATTGACATTTCACCCCAAAGGGTCCTTGCAATTTCTCTATATCTCATCTATACTATTTGAGCAATCAGGAGCTTAATCAAGTTTCTTCTCTCTAACATCAATGAGAATTGCTATGGAATTTTGAGAAATTCAACTTGATCTTTTACTACCTAATTTTATATGTACACACCTGTATCCCCAGATATCTGTTTTTGAAGCTGTCACCTTAAAACCAAAAACCTAAGCTTTGTCACAATGTCCAGAGAGAAGGAACAACCACTTTTATGAATCAAATGCTCCCGAGAACCACAGGAATAATCCTCCTGTAGCCAAATCCCAGATAATCTCAGGCCTACCTGAGACTTTTCTTCTGATTGCTGTCTAACACATATTATCATGCACCACAAATTTCTCTTGGCATCAGAATTATTTCCCCCTAACACCCAGATCTTCCTTCAAAGACTAAGTCAGTAACTATCTTAACCCAGACTCATCTAACATCATTATCTACTACTTTCTTCTGTTGTGAAGACTAGAAAGCCAGGGGCAGAGAGGCCCCTTTGTCTATTGGTGAAGAGATCATATGCAACACCAGATCATATGCAACACCAGATCATATGCAACACCAGATCATATGCAACACTTACGTCTAGTTCGGAAGAAAAACGGGTGATAATTACTTTCATTTTTAATGGATGGAAAAGGAACAATCTTTATAAAGTAATCTGTTTCAAACTTCAGATTTACAAAGGGCTGGGATTCCATTCCCTACAAAAAGACAAGATTGCAATGTATTTTTAAATCAACTATTGTAACTGAAAATACCTTTCAAAAAAAAAGCCCAGTTTTTCAAACATAAGCAGAAATTAATACATAAAGAACCCTTTCTCTGCTCCTCCATTAGAGGAATCCCAACACAAAGTTGGAAGTGGACTATTACAGATGTTCACCTCTACACCAGAGTCACTCAAATAATAGTTTCCAACTTCAGAAAACTTCTATATAAGGAGACAAGACCTGTCTCTAGATCAACAACTACAATTAGTTTAAAGAATAATACGTTTAGGAAGCGACCTGCATCCCAGTAACAAGCACAGTGAGTATATATTTTGAGACATACCTAGATTTACATGCAGCATATAAGCACTTTCAAGACTATTCACACAATGAAGCAACAACTTTTCTTGAAACAAAGCACTTACTGTTCGTTTGAAATTGGGGCTGAGCTGCTTTGGATCTTTTAAAAGAATCTGCTGGCATTGTCTTCCTTCTGATTTTAACTCCTCAAGTATCACTCGAAATCCTTTCAGGTATTCAATCCCTGCAAACAGCAGGGCATTTAAATTGAAGACTAATATTTCAAACTGTATAATTTGATATTTTATAGGATTTTAACATATTTCATTCGCCTCTAAAATTAAAGATTACCATTCATATGAAATACGTTTCTGTTGCTGCATGTCAGTTCTTTCCACATTTTCTGTCTTGCCTATTTAGAATTCGATCTTTGGCAAAGGCTGCAATTACTACACACTTGTGTAATGCTTTACAGCAGAGGTGCCCACATCTCAGCTGGGGCTTGCAAATTATCACTGCAAGTTATCTTTACCTTCATCACCCTCAGGAATAGTTTACAGTAACTTCACACTTCCATTATTAGCAATGAAACACATCATTTTGCTAGGAAATTACAGAAATACTCCTTTATAACACCTCCCTCTAATTTCTGAGCCCACCAGATTGAAGTGATAAGCATTTGTTACTTCTTCAGCTCTAGTATAGTGAGGGATAACAGAAAACTTTACTTAACTGGAATGGAATTTATTCCAGCAAGTGAATACTTCCAGTTATTTATAACTGATGCCAGAACTAGACCCATTTTTTTATCAAGTTACTCTAAGACAACTAAGTCTCAGCACAGTGTCTTGACATTTCCACCATTCTCGTGATGGAATTACTTCATTACATGACTAAAAACTGAGTTGTTGTGCTGCAAATGTCACAGGACAATGGCACAGTGTTACCCTGTGACAGTTTTGTGGCTCAGGTATCAAAATCACTTCATAGTTCTTCAAGATTAACTACCACCATCACTCCCTCTAATTACAACTCATAAACAGGATTATGTATGGCAGAATACATGTTTATCAAAGACACAGCAACAGCCTTTGCAAGCCAAATGCTACATAAATATAAATGGATTAATTTGACTTCATGCTATGCTTGTCAAATTAAAAAAAATAAACCCCAAATAATTTTCCACGGACTCCGTTTCACTCATTTTCAGGTTTTTATTTGTTTGGGTTTTTTTTAACGTTTTATGATCTTGTAGTAGATAAAGACCAGGAGGTGCCCAATGTGTTCCTAATATTCCATGGAACAAAAGCACTATTTGTGCTTACATGAACACCATGAAAGAGAAAGTGTCCAGTCTCCATGTCACCCAAGATGCTTCAATGGCAGTTCTGTCCTCAAATGCTTTCCGAAGGATTAACCTCTGATCATTACAAGAAAGAACACCAACCTTTGTTTCCCACAGAGATTTGATTCATCCACTCTGCAGCTGAAGATTAGCAAATGCTTCCAGCCGCACAGTTTTGCAGGATTAAGTGTCATTTTCAACCTCAGAAATTGATCAGAGGTTTTTGTTATCAAATAAATTATGGAAGTATGATTCAACACTGGGCAGCCACAAACAAAACTCACAATTTTCATATCTTTTTAAAATGTTTAATTTAATAAATGCGAGGCTAGGCTAACAATTTTTATATCAAGTTTAATAAATACACATTTGCATTATTAGCCATATCACATAATTTAGGATGCAATCCTTCCTTGCAATCCTGGAAATCTGCATTTGGAAGATTTTTAAACTAGGCTAGGAAATTCAGGATCCCTCATGTACCACATGTGAAACCTGGATGTCTGACATAAAGACCACAAGATTTAAAAAAAAAATGTAAATAGGAGTTGTAAAATTTTCTTCACATGCCCCAGTGAACCACCTTGTGCACCCCCCACTTTGGAGACTATTGCTCTAGTGGGCAACAAGGTTCTTCCAGTAACATTTAAGTGACAGAAGAATGTTCTCTGTGACCAGACCTGACAAAGAAACACATTCAAGTTTGTGTAGCTATGACCAAGTAATGTTTCCACTTGAAAGACAATCTACATCCTACAGAACATAAGTGTATTGGAAATTAAACTCAATGACTGGAATGCACCAATGCCTTGGGGTAGAGGAGAAAATCAGGGCTATTGCACCTTATGAAAAGTAGGAAAATCTCAAATTGGAATAGTAAAAAGCAGCTCATGGCTGCAGAAAGCATCCTAGTTTTAAGGGTATTTCAAGTGAGCTAGTAAAAAGAGAACTTTTTAACAGCTTTGCAAAGCTGCTTTCTTCTTCATCAGTTTGCTTCCATGATTCCACGTATCATTTAATTGGTTTACTTTATACTGATCAGCAAGAAGCTGCTACTGAAGACCTTTCCCTCTCCTACTTACCAATGGCATTTGCTGTCCAAAGTATTGTCACTGCAACCTGCTCGTAACACGCTTGCTGACTGAGGGTGATGTTCTGTACATCTCCTATCACGTGTTTCCCCACCGAATTCAGGTAAGGTGTGCAGTCTGAAACCATGGAGAAATAAACACTTAAAGAAAAACCTTCTAGCCCCTGTTCTTGTGCCATGCCAGGAGAAGTAAATCATAACCTGGCAACTGCACCCAATTTTAAAAGAGCTGTTCAAGCAACCCATTTCCAACATGACTGGTATCTTTCCATGTAAATAAAGAATTAAGTTGATTTTGTAACATTTTTTCAGGACTGAGCATAGTAAAAGTACATGTACACTATTTAATTTATAAAAATAGTAAATCTAGATGAAGCTTTTGTCTTAGGACACTTAGTAACACCAAACTTTACAAATCACTGAGCAAAACCACTTACACCAGTTGCTCTAGTTCATAGGACTCTGAAAGAGATTACCTGTTTATACCACGTAGCCTGTATCACAATAAGAGCAAAAATCATGTGTTGGGACTCCCAAAAGAGAACCATCTTTTCCTCACTAATTACTCAAAAGAATATGAGGACACACATTAATTTTGTGTATGCACATTGCTTAGAGGAAGAGAATGTTGGTTAGTGATCAGGCACGTATGAGAACAACGAACAACGCGAAGCTTTAGAACTGGTTCTCAAGAAGTGCTTTTTAGCGACAATACTGCTTGATCCTGACCACAAAGAACCTACTGCCTAAATCCATTTCATCTCTGTCATCCGCTCAGTAGCCACATCCCTGAAGACTGTTTTACTGCCACTGGAAAGAATCAAACAAAACTGGGTTTGTCTTATTATCCTCACAAAATACAGTGTATTCTCTAAGGTTGTACCTCTGCAAACATGTGATTATACAAAATCTCAACTTTAAAAAAAATAAAAATAAGATAAACCTGCCTGACTTCATTGTTGAACTTGACTGTGTCTTTTTGCATTCAAAAGAAGAAAATAAATAATCTCAAATTCTTTTGCTTTTAAACCCTCACAATGTTTAGGCTCATGCTTTGTTATGAGAAGAGAAGTAGTGGCCAGAGATTTCAATAGTTCTAGAGCACTGTACACATGAGGACATGTATGCACAAAGATTCTGCTTTTGAACCAGTGAAGCCAACGAAATCCAGAAAAAGTTGACCAGTAGACTAGATATTACTAACTGATGATTAATTCTAAAGACCTAAGATTTGTCTATCCAGAGTTTGGAGAAACGAAACATGAAGAACCAAGTGTTATGATAAGCCACTGCAGGAAATTTAAATTTAATTCAGAGGTGTGATTTTAAAGGCAAAGAAAGAAAAATTATTAACTGAGAAGCAGCTTCAGAAAATGGCTTTTTGCTCTGAATAACAACGGTAAGGGGTATTTTATGTAACTGCTATGCAAGTAAGAATAGAATTGCTTGTACCACATTGCCTTTTAGGAAAGCTGGCCAGTTGGTACTTACTCTGCTATCTGCAGAATTCTGCTACGAGTGAACTCAATGACAACACGAATTTCCTCTTAGGAAGATAGAGTATCTTTCAATGGAAAGTTTGAAGTAACATTTTTTTTGCTAGGTCTGGATCTAATTAAAAGCAAGCCCAAGACTTTGGTTGCTGGTTACTAAAGTTTTATGGTCAAATGACAATTTGCCAAAGTGGAATATAGCACAAATCTCTGAAGTTTGACTGTGAGTCACTGATTTACATTTTTAAAGAACAACAGGAGAGAAAAATTGCACTTTTCAGGAAACTACTTCTTTTACTTGAATACAAGTGCAATATTAAAACACTCAAACATTTGGTTTTCACCTGAATAAATAATCTAACCAACTAATTTAACATAAAATATAGTTTGCTTGAGTTACTGTATGGCAAAAGAAAAGCCTTTAAATCACAGCCAGCAAGCCAAACTCTCTTTTGTGCGGCTTACTCATGATAAGTATGTGTTTACACATTATACAAACTCTTTAGCCTTGATATCAAGGAACTCTTTTCCTATTTTCCTAGTACTGCAGAACTTAAATAACTCCTTTGTCTAGGAAGAATGCAGTCCCAGCAGAATTTTGAATTAACACTTGTCATTGGTTAAACACAGTTCCTGGTGCCAGAATTAATGGAAAAAAACATGACAGATCCTGGGACTTAAACAGACTCCATTGTGTTGCCTAAACATGGGGATCTCTGTTCTGACTGATATTGCCCATTTTTCTTTAGGTAGACAAAAAAAAAAAATAATCATAGCTCTTCTGTAGCAAACACCTCTTGCACAATCCAATCTACTTAGATTTTTTCATTTTAAATATTACCATCAAATAACATTTTTAAAAAATACAGCGAATTATTGCGAATCCAAAAACTAACATAAAAACAGATGAAAAAAAGGATGATCCCAACGAAACAAAAGCACTGTTGTTTGGTTTCCTGAGACATGCTCTCAATGCTGAAATGTTGCTCACATTCAGCATGGGAGGTGATTTCTTTGGGTAGGCAAAAAACCAACGTGTGAGCTGCCCTGGCTTTAATACAAACATGACTGCTGTAAATTAGGACCTTCTCTTGACTCAATTCTGAATTTATATTGATGATGGTCACTAATTGCCCAAATAAGGATACATTGCCAATGCGGTCAATATTCATACTTTACTTACTAGACAAGATAGGTAACAAAGACATTTAAAAAATTAAAACCGTAAGGTAGAATCATTTAGTAGCCATTTTAAGAGGTTTGAAGTATTATTTCTTCAACCTACTTATTACTGTTATTATGCTAGAAGTTACTTTCTTCTTAGTTTAGCTTCAACACAGACCACATCTGCTAAAACCATCTGTCTTCACTGAAAAAGTAGACAGCAATCTTCACTAATCTGGTCCTTTAACACTGTAGCTAATGAAAAGTTCCAACTACTTCAACTAGATAAAGATATGCTATTACAATATTCATATTCAATATTACAGACACATTTTTAATATATTTATTGCATACAATTTTTTACCTTTAGACACACTTCACACCACTTCCCCCCAAAATTACCCATCAGAGAAAATATGTTTACAGCTTGAAATAATCCTTTCCTACAACTCTGTGTGCAGTGAACCCTTCAATGACAGCATTCTTTCAAAGAATAAAACCATTCTCTTTTCCACCCAGATACCAGGCAGATGACCTAGGCCTATGTGAAAGTAAAAGTGCTGCAAAATATTCCACCATTTTCTTATCAGTGAAATACAGGAAGATGATCCACCTGACCCAGTAGAAATAAATCCAGATTTCAAAATCATGTCAATACTAAACAGCTCATGCTATTCTTCCAGCCATTTTTAAGAGACATGTTGCTATATATTGATACCTGTGGTTGAATTTTTGGTTTTGTGAATACAGTGCAAACTTTCAACTTACTGTCGTATTTAAAGGTGATATTGAGTAGTCCATTGTTCTTGGTGACTGACGACAGCCCCTGCAAAGAGATATCATGAAAATAATTTTAATAAAGCAAGCTATGTTGAACTTACATAGATTTTTATTTTGTAAATAGTTTGTTCGAGGACAATCAAGAGACTTTGCTTCTGTTTGGGCACAGCATCCATCAGTCTGAACACAGTCAATGACAGAACAGATTGCATGCACCCACATGCACTCACCTGTGATCAGTTTTCCAAATGCAATACTCAAAGCAGAGAAAACAAAGAGAAATTTCAGTCTGAAAAGAGTACTTGCATGAAGACATGAAACTGTGTCTTCAGTAGTGTGACTTGTCCAATAGATGTGGATCACAGAACCCCATGTTTGAAAGAAAGTTATGTGATCAGCTTCAACCTTCTAGGTTAATCATGCCCATTAATGAGAAATCAAATTGGATTCTCCAGGGCAAACACAATGCAAGAAAAGAGAGGAGAGAATGTTATCCTGAAAAAGCTGATCTCAATTCCACAGTAATGAAAACAAGTATCAGAAGTTCAAACAGAGAGAAGAAAGAATGTCAGCTCTGTTTTCCCAGTGAAGATCATTTTAATGAAATAAAGTTAAGAGCAAAACAGTACAAGATTTGACTAAAGAGCATCCATCACCAGCCAGACACTCTTCATCTCACAAACTACCTCAGAACAGCTGCCTGAAGGACTATTATCTCTGTGTCAACTGGACAAACTTAACTCAGCACATTTTGAGCACACCTGGAATTCATCTACAATCAAGTAATCCTTTTTTTCTAAGTCTGATATTCAATGTTCACAAGAACTACACAGAGCTCAAAACTTAACACAAGCTGAGATGAAACAGGACAAAAAAACATCTAGCCTATTTCATCATGTATTTGAATTGCATATGGGATAAAGTCTTACTACAGAGAGAGTATCAATGCCCAGTGCCTAAATATGTGCCCACATCTATCCTTCATTACATTATTTTATAGAAATATATTTATATGTAAATTATGTTTTAGTGCCTGCTATAGTTCTTGTGGAGTTTATATTTCCATGTGCTTTGAGTTGTACTTTGTTTCTGCACTGACTTACTTTTCTGTTGTATTTATTTATGCAAGAGACCCTCATACAGAGACCCAAATCATTCCACCACATATTGAAAATATTGTAGATAAATTCTTGCTGAGAAGAACAAAAACAGCGAGAGAGAACTTTAAATTTCCATTTTCCCATTGATTATTGGCTAAAATAGAAAAATAGTTAAAGGAGAACAAATGAAACAATGGATATCGAACTGGAATGATTCAGATAATTATACTCCAAACTTTTCCAGTATAAGTGCATATGGTAGAAATCCATTTTTCTATATCAGACACCTTTTTCAGTTATCAAATACTATTCACGCAGATACTGACATGTTTGCTGAGTGTCACAGAAACTGAGGACCAACCAAAGAACTATTTCATTGCTTTCCTATGGAGGAATCCAGATACACACAAGCCCAGTGTCTCTTCTACACCTATATCAAAGAACTTTGGACTTCAAAGACAGCAATACCTTAGCCTGCAGAAAGCACTGAAATTGTTTTTGAAATGTCAAATGTACTATCACCCTCCTCCTCACTAGACACAAAGTTGAAAACTGTAACACTGATCTTAGGAAGTAATGTTCTCTGAAAGGCAAATGGTAACATCATTACCATTATCTTTAAGAAAATACTATGCGTTTACATACAATTATATCCAGTTTTCCAGCCACAATAAAAAGGACTGAAGCTAATACTATAAAAGGATTCCAACAGTAATTAGACGTTGCCATGACCACGTGTAAACACTCACTGTGTCTCACTTAACCAGACACAGGTGTGTTGAGAGAAAAGCAAGGTAGGCATGAATTAAGTTACCTTTAAAAAAAACCAACACCTGCAAATACTAGGTAAAGACTGAAAGAAAAGCAGATCTTGATAGTACTGTTGCAAGTGAAATCTGTAATCTCACTTTCTTCTTAGGTGGCTTTTCATTTGTTTAACTTTGATTTAGTTTGGCATTAAACAATCTGTTACACAAAGAGGTTTCCTGAAACAGGAAGGTGTCAATTTTTTTTTCAGTCTCAACTTTTCTGTTAATACCTGCTCTTTTCTGACTCATTTTCTGTTTCTCTTAAGCTATATAAAATCTCACTTGACTTACTACTACAGCAAAACAAGGTCATTGTGTGATTAAAAATACACCAAAAAAAAGGTAACTATTGACTTTTTATAAATAAAGGCAGATAAACCAGCAAATTAATTGTTACTTCTTGTGTCCTAGACTGAAAGTTTTGAGACATAAATTAGTACAAGTATTTTAATTATTTAGATAAGTTCTTTTATAGCCTATATGTTAAAAAATATAATGTAGTAATGCTTTTTACTGCCCCTTTACTTGGATTTCTACTGGAATTATGGTGACATCGCAAAATATGTAACAGTAGAAGTGTAAATCAATATAGCATGATCATTAATAAAGTAGATGCAAAAATAAATACTACATAAGCCAAACTCTGCTGAACCTTTGCTCCCAAGTATGTGAAAGGTTCAAAAAGGCTGCAGTAATTTGGGAGAGAATCTGGGTCACCCTAAAGTGTTGAACTAGATAATTGTAATGTTTTAAGTCAAGGCACGTAAACTAGTTAACCAATTCTAACTAATTTGTGCTCAATTTCAGTATTAATCCTTCAAGCACTTACTGCTATGAGTTTAAAAATCCATTCTTCCAGGAAGCATTCCCTTTTATTTAAGCTGTGAAGTTCTGTGCTATTTAAACAGCTCATAGCTAAAACATTTTGTTTAGAGTATCTTACTTTAAAACTATAAATTCTAATGAATTATGTGGAGCCTTAGGGCTCCACATTCTTAGTTAATTAACCACTAACATTTGTTGAATTTATCTGCAGCTTTTAATTTATTCTGAACTTTACTAGAAAGCAAGTCTCCATTGCCTGGAGCTCTGTCTATAAAAATCCCTTTGGTCCACACACTTCTATACACACTGACTGAGAAATACATAGGAAAGAAAACAGTCAAAACATCTTTTATGAAGAACTATAGACCACTGATCCTCAAACAGATAATAAAAGTTGAAATGCACACAGATTAAATTACAAATAATCTTGTTTGACAAAAAGCAGGGATGGGAGGAGTGTTACCCACAACATTAAATCTCACATTATGTGAGCTCAAAGCACAAAACTCCACAGAAAACACGATAAATTAAGATCCAAATCCTGCATCTATATTGGAGAAGCAAGTGAGAAAGCATTTCCAAGACTTAACATAAGCCTCAAATCACAGAGACCAACACTGCATCTGTTCCTCAACCACATGAACAACCTGGAAGGTTATAGTGAAGATCCCATGATATTTTAAATCAGCACAGTTCTAAGTCACACCAACACACATCATCTGCTAAAGAATTAATAACTCCTTCAGATGTTCAAGGCATGTACAGGCATATAATTTTATTTAAATAGTCATCTTTCAATGTGAAAGAGCACAAGTATTAATAAGAGTCAAAGACTATTACATTAAGTTAACCAGTGTTTTTGTTTGTTTATATTTTTCTAATACCCATCCTTCATTTATGGTTACAACTTATTCGTGAGGTGCACTTAAGACAACACATTCTACCCATTACTATGCAAGAGAGAAACAAAGCTGAGACTACATTTTCATAAATAAAGCTTAAATAAAATTTTAACCACAGGCACTAATTGTGCCTCCAAGAAAAGTAAAATTTAACTAATACCTGCTATCAGAGGCATAAATTAAATACAATGGAAAGAAATTGAAGATTCTGCTTGTTATTGTCAAAATTTTTCCTCTTTTAATCTAGAGCATATAGTGTTTCATATTTCAAAGTAACACCTGTGTTTTTCTATCTGACAATTCCTGCCAGAGATGGCATTGGTGATTTCAGAATTGTCCTACAAATAATCATTTTTACAAATAATATTGAAATACACACACTTCAGCACTCAACTTTTGTTAAGCAACCACAGTCATTCAACAAAGACAAGCAATGTGTGCGACAAGGCACTGTTAGGCAGCCACTCTCAGATCAACACCAGGAAACAGAGATAGATGCTAGCACTAATTACAGAGATCTGGTAAAGGAGGTAGGAAATCACTGCCCCTCAAGCATAGCCTTGTGCACTAGACCAAAACAGTAATCATGATTCATCTTTCATATGTTGTTAATCAACGCACACATGGTCCTAATTTCATGCTGCCATGAGGCAAACTGAAGGGACAATTGTTTTTGAACTCCCAACATCAGGATGAATAATCAATGTTTATCATACTCATTGCTCAGTAAACTAAAAGCTTTCTATTTGACGTCTGTTCTTTTCATTCAAAAGCTTTCTGGATGCTTTCAACCAAGTTAAAATATTTCCTATTTCTACAGTCATCAGTAAACAAATTATCTGTAGTATTTATACACCTGCATTTTGGATTGTTGCCAACAGAACAAAACACATAATCCCTGCTAATGTTTGCTATATAACTTATGAGCACTCCATTGACTGCAGAATGAATTCCAAACTCTGGGTGAATGGATTTATACTGTTACTACTGTATACCTGGTCCAACTGACAATTCCAACCCTAAATTTTCTTCAGCTTTCCATTACATATGATCCCACATTGCATGCACAAATTATGGAAAACACATTTTTAAAAGCATCTCGGTGACACTGGAGAAGTACTTTTTCGTGAGAATCAATTCAAGGAAGAATAGACTCCTCAGTGCTTATTTACTATTTGAAACAGGGACCCAGATTCTTTAAAACATTTTTAAATTTCTTTTACTAGCATCTTTTGTGTTTCTTCTTATATAACTAACATAAGCATTGGTTTTATTCCATTACAAATGGTGAATTGTGGCGGGAAGGAAAGCATTGTTTTTGAGCAAGAAGAAACTTCATGATCGATCCAACTGCTGATTATCCTCTTGCTACACATGCTGGCTAGCTGGGTCTTCCCTAACACATCCTTGTCAAGAGCAGCCTGTCACATTCAAAGACACCAATTTTTCTTCCACGTTACTTGTGAAAATTCAATGGTATATCTCCAGGTGTCAGCACATTGCTTTTACACAATTGTCCCTTTCAGAGAGAGTATCAGGTTGTCTGGTAGATCAATTAGGCCCTTCCTCTGAACTGGAAGAACCCTTCTTTCATGTGAACAGTTAATTCTCTAACTTTCTCAGTATGGCTCAGCCTTCCAGGGAGTAGATGCCTCATGACCTGAGGCAGGCACAATACACCCCCCCTTTGTTTCAAACTTCAGACATGTTCACATTTAGCATATTCCTCTATTTCGCAGAATATAGCTTTTAAAACAAATTTAAGCTCTGTGACTTGGAACAAACATTACAAAGCACCCATTATAGCCTTTTTTTTAGTACTATGCTAACTTAACCAACAGTCAAAACTCTCTAAGAAGTAAAAAATTCAAAATCAATACTGTGTAATGGACCAAACACTGAGAGTTATAATTCAGGTACAATAAAATCAACCAAGTTACTTTACATTAAAATTTGGGAAAATGAAACTTTCCTTTAAGAGTAACATATAATACTTACTTGCCTAAACAAAACATAAGGAACTCATACTTCATTTGTATAAGACTTCTTGTGATCACTAAATATCTCATTTTTCACATAATCATGACATTATCCATGGTTTTATGGTTGACTTGCCACATAGGTAATTACATTTTGTCTGAGTAAATTCTTCTGTCATTTCAACTAGATACGGTTTTCTCAAGTTCCTCCTATCATGAAAGAATATTGAATTCAACAGCTGCTGACTTAAATCCTGTCAGAGGATGAGGTGGTCCCTAAACCTGAGAATTATACTCATATATCCTATGTTTCATGGGGGTCTTTTTGGATTTTTGGTGTGAAACATGCTGGTTCAAGATCATGAACTGCAGAGTATCCTATCTAAAAAAATGCAAACAAACAACAAAACAAACTAAAAAAAAGCCACCACCAAAAATTCAAACAACAACAAAAGAAAACAACCAGAAAACAGTAGAAATGCCTTTCCATAGTGTCTCATTCCTGGCTATTTTAGTTTCTGTTTATAAAAGGCAATTTGGAAGGGTACCTTAAACATTAGTCAGTCAGATAGGGAGGTAAGAAATCACTGTTAGGAAGAAATACCACAAAAAATATTGTCAGCGTGACTCTTTGGTATGCAGCATGGCTCCATGCAGCTGTTCACTAAATGTATGTCAACTGGTTTAAGAAACAGACAGTTCTTAAAGCCACAATTTTAAACAGTAGAAGTAAGTTTAATCTATCCTGTTTGCTGCCTGCCGTGGAAATCTTAAATCTCCGAGTCAACCCCAGGAATTCAATGCAGCAAAGCATGGCAGAAAAAGGGTACCAGCTCCTATTTCTCTCATGCAATTTGCAAGATTGCCTTGAAGTTTTCTATGTCACACAATTTCTTCCAACTGTGTTATGTGAGTAATGATTGGTAGATTAAAAGCCTTCTAAAAAAAACCAACAACAAACCAAACACACAACAAAAAAAGCCCCAAAAAATCAACAGAAGAAATACTTTCAAACAAAGCCCATCTCCCACAAAACATACTACTGAAATGTGCTAGTCTAAGGATATTTGGACTAAAGCCAAAAGCCTCCAGCTAAAGCAGTGTTCCCTTAACTGTGGGACATGACCCCTGGCAGGAGAGTTGGGAGAAAAGACGAGGTGTTTGGGAAGGGGTGGGGGAGGAAGCAATGCCAAGACAGGTGCGGGAATGGTGTTTGTGACTGGGAAGGAAGGGGGGTGCAAATGGTAAAGTTATTTTTAGAGGGACCCAAGACAAGGTAGTTTGAGAAACACTGATTTGTGCTGTAAACAACAAATTAAACAGAGTAACTCACATCTGAAATAATGGAGAAAAAGAAATGAATGAAGCTTGCCCTGCACACATACTGTTTACCATAAAACAAACAAGTCAGCTAGTGATTCCATTCAAATTGAAGAACATACTTCTTACAGTGGGAAGGTACCCAAAACCTCAATAATCCTAACAGGGTCCCTCATGTTTAAAAGAATAATTGCATAAGCACTGAATTCTAGCATATGCTCAAGCACATCTAAACTAACCTGCCTAGGAAACAGTTTCTTTTCATTCATTTAATTGACTCTCCACTTAATGTACAAACATCCAGAGCCATAAGCTTGAGAGTCACATCTCCCAAAGATGTTAGAATACAATGAACAAAGCATTTCAAGAGGTGACTGAGAAACATGAGAGAACAATGGAGAACTATTTATATTAACATGTATATAAAATATGTGGTTAAGTTCAGGGAACATGAGGGAAAAAAGGAAAGCAAAGAGGAACAGTTCTTCTGAGCTGCAAAATGAGTGGATTAATTGTATCTTTCAAGATTTTACACACATAAAATGGTTAGAAAGAAGGACAATATGGCTGAGACTTGCTTCTAACTTCAGGAAGCTCCTCCTAAAGCATTAAGTACTTCCAAGCCAAGCAGATCCAAAAAGAAAGGTTTTTTTCCTTTAAAGCTGAGCATATGCAATGGCACCTGGAGAACAACTAAAGCAACTTATTTCCAAAATCACAAATGGTTCACTAATAACATTTTGCTGCCAGATTCCTACCTTTCAAACTGGAAACTCCTAGCATGAGCTCTTTGTTTGATCCCAGGTTTCATCCAAAGAAACAGAAACTCTGTAAAATTAACTAGGATTGACTTTGTAGGTTCAGTTTTAAGCTTCAGCCAGAACACAATTTACAATTATGACTATTTCAGAATGAGGTTTTTTTGCTCTTTGTTTCTCAATATAATGCCAAAGTGCACACACAAAAAAATGCCTAACTATTCTGAGGGAAACTACCATCAAATGTGGATTAACTGCTTTATTAAGAACTGTTCTACCTAAAAAATTCTAATCTAAAATTTACTGCATTCTTAGAGATTTGATTGCAAACAAACTTAGAGCAAGCAAACTGGAGAGAGCCCCTTGGCAGTACAGAGCAAGTTTATCCACTGTTAAACTTTTGAAAATGATAATAACAGCTGCTTGCAAGGAAATCTTTAAAGCAGAACATCACATAAAGGCTGGAATGTGATAAATTTGACATGGTGCATCTATTTTGTTTTGTACATATTCACACAATGTCTTCCCCTAGTCCTAATCCTTCTCCTGTATTATTTGAAAGTCACTGAAATTTAAGACCTTTCCAGTCAGAAAATATGAAATGCATATTCCTAGAAACTGAATTTTAATTCTTACTTACACAACTGAAACCTACAGGCACAAAGAAGGCAAGTATTACATATTCACTGGAGCACATAAATGTAAAGAAAACTGCACATTGGTTTTGTAGGACCAACATATAAACAGAACAAAGTTTGGGTTCTGGAGGATATGGAAGCAAGGTAATTTAGTAATAAGGCTACTGATTAGTGCCACAGAACTCATAAAACTTTTAAGTAGATAGGATTTGGGATTGTTCCATCCTAATCCCTCCCTTTGAAGTAATGCAATTATTTTGGACATAAACCCCTATTCTTAGGGATTTAGAAACACACAACTGTACTCATCCATAAGATTTTAAAACTGAGAATTCATAAGCAGCATGGTTCAATTCCAGGAACAATCCATTATTTGCTTGCCAGAATCCCATGCTTCAGCTTTAAAGAAGCTTTCACCATGCCTTGAACAGTATTTTTAATACTTTATATGAACTTTTTTAAGGATATGAAGTAAAAAAAAAAACTTTCTTTAAAATGATACAAGCATCTCTTCCCAAAGTTACCATCCTTTTGAGCTACACGACTTTAAAAGGGTCAGGCAACATGAAAGTAGGACTTTAAATGTGAGAGGCATCTACTCAGTACTTTTGGCCTTAAGTTCAATATCATGAGGGTCATAAGAATAACAGCAACATACCATGAAGTGCAATATTTATTCCATATACAGCTATGCTATAAAATACCTCCATCAGATGTGAGGGGTAGATTGTGTCAGAACAGACTGTCATAATGACTGTATCAGGCATTTTTAATCTGAATGGAGGAAAAAAAAACAAAAAACACAACAGCAAAAACGGAGGGACCATTATGTCAAACACAAAGACTAAAACAATTTTCTATTATAAGTATAGATCCTTGTACATCAACTATGCTAATAAAATAAATTACCTCTACCTAGGAAGAAATCAAGTATTCCTCCCTTTCTTCCTTTCACAAAGTTAATGGACAAGCTGCATGGTCTGGCTTCCTGCAGACTTAGATCAGCTATACTGCCCTTCTAACAGTTTTAGAGGTGTGGGCTTTGGTTCCTTCAACTGCTCTGCAATTGTTACTCCCAGGTCCCTAGACAAGCATGCAAACAGATTCTTACTGCTGAATTATGCACTTTCAGCAAATCAATTTCTTCTCAAAGCATCTGTCTAGTCCTGGTCCACAAAGAAGATAAAAATTACTCCCACAGCTTAAGGAGTAATACAATCAGCAGCGAGAATTAGAAGGTTCAGAGCTTACTATGTACTGATGATCCACTTGGTTGAACTTGAGAGACACAGGCAGACACATTTGGTGGCTGTAGATTTAAAGCTGCAGCTGCCAGGGAATTTATACACTCCTGGTTACCCTCTGTGGAATACAGCCATCATATTTGCAGCCAAAAAAACTCCATTTGGAATGCGTCAGAAATATACACAAACTGCACAAAATACTTCTGATCCACCTGAAGGACACTTGTAAGAAACAGTTGCCAAACATTCCAACTACACCAGCCCCTCTCTGCAAGCAAACTGGAGTTTCCCCACTTACGGCCATCTAAGGAGGAAGAGCTCTGCCAAATTATGATCAATGCCAGGAATTTGAACACAACACAATAAAACCATACAAACCAGCTTTATTTCTGAGGAGACATTCACAAGATGAACCACTAGTCTTGAATAAATTTTAGCTCAGAACTCACCTGATCTTCAAGGCTGGCTTTCTTCTCCTAGAGTTTTGATTTTCACACTCTGTAAATCCGTATATTTTGTTCCTACTTGTGCCATTCATCCACCTCTTTAGAAAGAAAAAGCTTCTGCCATCAAGATTGTTGAGGCTCTTTACAATGAAAAAAAAGGATCAAGAAGGGACAGAACACATTCAGATACTCCTGTGTCCTCATCTGTCTTCAGTACCTGGATTTGAAATGCATTAAGTATTGCTAAATCTTACTGATGAAAAAAAAATAATCAAGGAAATGTGTGTGTTGTAAGTGTATCTGTACTGGCAAACTCTTTAGGCATTACATGTTCCATGAAGTTTTTAACTGCTAAAAAAGGGAATGAAAACACAATTTTTTAAATAGAGATGTAATGTTTGAAATAGTACTGAAAAGTCCAGTCTGACCACATTCAGCTTCCACTAATAAAAGTCACACCCTATGGATATCACAAATTAATATAACACTTGAACAGGTAGAACAGTTTAGGAGATGCCTTTTTCCTATATATTTAATGTTAAGTGCTTTTGAAAGCAGGCCAATGCAAAGGTTACATGTTCTACCTGTACAGTACCTAACTAGCTCACAATTGCCATTTTCATTATCTGAACCCTATTTAACTGTCTTATCTGATGATCTTCATTACTCCAGCCCAGATCCCCCAAAGCATGAGACACACCAAATTCACTGCTTACCCATGTTCTCCAAGATACTGAATAAAAGGCTTCAGAACTGATTTCTCTATTTACAAATACACCCCTGTGATGGCAAGGTATACACACACCCAGAAGGAAAGCAACCATACTAGACCTTTATTATTTCCTTTTGAATACTGCCATTAATTCCTTTTTCCTTCCACCTCTAACTTAGTCTAAGCATAAAATAAAATGTAATTAATCATTGAAAGAGAAAGGACTCAAATGAAAATTCTCAAATTTAACATTCACATGGCCACAGCATTGTACTGTTTTCCTCTCATAGGCTCTTCTCACATCATTTTCCTCAAAATAATGCCAGATAAGAGGGTTTGCACCAAAAAAAATTAAACTGACACTCATCTTTCAATAATGAATCTTAATCAGTCTCATGAAAATGAAAAATGGAATATTTCAGAAGGTTTATACATGCAGAAGATAAAAATGTAAAACTTTTTTCCTCCTAGTTATAATGTCCTCTAGACAATCATATTCATTTAAAATGTATAATTATTTGAAATGCTTTAAATATTTTAAAATATACAGCTGTTCAAATAATATTTAATACATGAGAAATATACAGAAACTTCAATCTGATTGCTTCAAGCTTCCATTAATTAAGCTACAATCCACCAGTCTCACACTTGAAAAGGAGAGAACCACATTTGAAAAGGAGACAACCCAAAGAAATCCATTAAGCTGGAAGAACCTAATCATCACATACCTGTCCACACTCTTAAAAATCCAACCAGTTTCAAATACAAAGGTCTGAGACTCTGAAGCAGTTTGGCCACCATACAGTAACTCAAACTGGGGTTCACTTAGCATGTCTAGATATTTAGTTGACAGCACATCACTGCTATTCCTTCTGCCTGGAAAGGGTTAAGGGATCAAGACTGAAATACAGATAGTATGAAACAGTAATACAAGCAGTACCTTTACATAAAATACTACAAAGCAACAAAAATTGTTTGAAAAATATTATGCTCTTCTTAAATTCTACTGATATTCACAGTGATTTTTCTGAAATCAGACACTTTCACCCTAGACCATAAGACTGAAGTGATCTGAAATGGAAATATTTCCTGTCCACTCACTGCCAGTTTCTGCTCCCAGAGCGATATAACAGATGACATCCAGTACAATAAATTCTTTTATTAACCATAAATTTGAAACGGCTTTAGGGATTTGAAGTGTTCAGTTTCATGCTGAAAAAATGTAATGTTATCCACAGACCATCAGCATGTGTAACAAAAACAGAGCCACAGGTTATGTGACTTTGATCAAATTATGAAAAAAAATCTGAATTTAAAAATACTTGGAAAAGTGTTTGCAATAATTTTTAGCCTCTTGTTTTCAGACACACACACACTAACTGGTCTTTTTTTTTTTTTTTTCCCCTGCAGGAAACAATCACTTCTAACAAAAAGAGCTCTATACAAAAAGTCAACAAGTTTCCTTCTAGCTGTCATCTAAGAAGACAGAACTGCAACATAAGTTTTAAGATCTTAAACATTTAAATTTACAGGTAATAAGTTAAATTGAACTTGTATGTATCTCAAACTTTTACTTCCTTTCCTTTTATCAAAGTTAAACTGAATATATACATAGCTAATCCTAAAAAATTGAGCAGGAAGACAAATACAATATAGACTATAAAACCCTTTCAGTTTAAACCTTCATCTCTTAAAATAAAATTATGTTATTGGAGTAAATTGAGAAATTGATCCAAAGACCAGCAAGTTTCACTTCCAATATAAATGGTAACTTACAACAGGAAAACTACTTGGATGTAATTGCAGAACAAAAACATGGAAACAATTATTTCCTCTGTTGCAACAAAACTTCACCGTATTAGGCAGAGGGAGGGAAATCATACCTAGAACTATCAACTTTCCACACAGAAGCATGCAAATAAACCACTGGAGTTTACATATTGCTAACTTCTTTTGTTGAATAGAATATAATAAACATCTAAAACATATATTCTAAATGCAATATGGCTACACTGAAAAATAGCCATCCATATCTATCAGCATTTTTAGATGATACTGGATGTGAATCTATCACTTATTTCGTGGTTTTATTCCTACATTTACTGCCAGAATGTAAAAGGAAATTTTGCCCTTGCAGCTCATTCTTCAGTGGGCTGAATGTCCCATTTTCAAACCTCTGCATGACATTTCACGGCTAGTGGTCCTTATAGAAAGAGAACTCCAGAAGTGAATAGCATGATTAGTGAATTACTCTTACAAATGCCACTGTATGGAGAAACTTAAGCTATCCCAACTTGCATTATTCGCAACTAATGAATAAAAGATAAAGGTTTTGTTTCCATTGATATTCTGAAGAAGCATGGAGTAATCACTTTTCACCTGTTACAGGTCAAGCTGAGCTAGGTGTTTGATCTTTCTGATCTTTAATTTAACCTTTTCTACTTAAACTGTCAGAAGGTAAACTAAGGTAGTTATCAAGCACCATCAACATAATTTGCTGAAAAAGCAGACAATAAAGCAAAGCTGTAACTATTTTAGAATATATCATGTTACTGATTCTTTAAAAAGTACCTTAGCTAAATAATTTTTATTATACAATAGAAGAAGCAAAACATTAGATTTTCTATTATAACGACAGCATCAGGCAGTACATCTGGCCCTTCCTTCTTTTGGGGCTGTTAATACATGCCTTGTGAAACAGGAGGCCTCAGATAAAATTTTGATGTACTAAATAAAATCAAAACTCTTTATAATAGGGAATGATCCTTAACTGTACCCTGTAACTACACAAATTTGCTCATAAATAGTGTACTAATAAGAGATGCTGTCTTCAGAGCAAGATAAGAAATAGAGGGAGCTATACAAGATTTGGTGGGTCATCTAATTTTAGTGGTAATCTGCCCAAATTCCATTCACAAACTATAGGCTGTAGAGTGAAGTCTTCCCCTGGGTTACAAATGAACACACGACTCTTCATTTCCTGGCAGGAAGGGCTGTATAGCCTTACCCTGCTCTCTTAGGCCAACTGCTGCATTACCCCAGAGCTGGCTGCATTTCAAAAGACACTGGAGTGATTTCTGAAACATTTCTATCTTCTTGCTTGTGGAAAATTCACTGCTAAAAAGTGTTCACATGGAAAATCCCACATAATTTACTTTGAAGTTTTGTATATGCTTGGTACACTAACCTCAAACTCTTCATAGAATCACCAAGGTTGGAAAAGACCTTCAAGATGAGCAAGTCCAACTGTCTGCCCTATAACCCCTAACCACTAAACCCTCTCCTGAAATACCACGTCTACCCATTTTTTTTAACACCTCCAGGGACAGTGCCTCCACCACCTCCCTGGGCAGCCTGTTCCAATGCCTCACCAACCACTCATCACTTTTTTGTGAGAGACCTTTTTAAAGGTATCCAGATTAACACACCTCAAGACTGGGAATTTTAAAAGTATCTGAATAGGTAGATGGAACATTGACTTAATCACAAAATTAGCACAGGGGTTTCCTGACTCCCCTATCTAATGCCTGGCTCTTCCTTCATGCTATGGTTCACCACTTCTGAACATAGACTTGACATAAATTGCATGGGAACCTCACTTCATCTGTGTCACTGAAATGACACCAGGTGTAAAGAGGGCAAAAAAAAGAAAATAAAAAGAAGGAATAGGGATATTTCCAAGTCAAACTGTTAGAATAATTTGATTTACAATGTGGCTCACTAACAGGTACATTAAAGCAGGTGGGGAAGGAAGGGTAAACCGCAACACCACAATGGGAGGAAGCAGATGGGAGTGAAAATTCCACTAACCAGCTTCACTGCTGAGTCAATATAAAACGTAACTACACCATGAGTCACAAAAGGGAACAAATCCCATTGAAAGTTAATAGGAGTTAGGGCACTCCATTCTTTTTCAGAATCCCTCTCCAAGCTTCTAAGGATCTGCTCACACAGGGTAAAGCTTAAATCACTCATTTACACCCAGTAACTCTAAGATGTGAAGGGGAAGCCCAGCACAAGCTTGAAAACTTGGCTAAAAAGGTTTGTGATTCAGCAACATCCTCTTCCCACACTGTATTTAAAGCTCATCCAGACAGAGCAGTCTTTATGTTCAGAGTAAATTGCACAACTTAACCAGTTTTAACTTCCATCCTCATTTTCTTACTACTGCTTGTAATTAGGGGCAAACCCAGACAGGGAGGTAACACCCCACAGAAACTGGAGGAATATAAAGCAGTGCACACAGGCTCTACAAGGGCTTTGAGATGAGATACAGACTGGCACCTGAATAGCTCAGACAGAGGATGGAATTCTTAATTGTCTGGACAGCAGTACCCACAGTTACTACAGTGTATGTAAAAAAATAAATAAATCCACTCCTAAGGTCCTCTTTGTAAAGGAAGTTATTACTACACGATACACTAAAATGTAACTTTACAATGCGCTACCTACTCTATGACAACACACTATATGGGTTGTCCCAGCACCAACCCAACACTGAGACTGATGATCTCTATTATCAAGAAAGCTTAAGCATTAGAAATTGCCACGCTAGCAAAGTGCTCTGCTTTGGGTCAGTCATGAAGACCAGGACAATGCCCCACTAACACACCTATCTCACTTCTGGTATTCAACTCCTTGGCTCTGAGCTAGTCTGGCTGCCTGCAGCACTACCCTGTGCTGAGGAGATGCATCCAAACACTCTCCACATGGGACATTACCATGGAATTGAACTACATTCTGTACTTGTGTCTTAGTTTAGTGGGCAGTTATATCCTCATATAAGCAAAGAAGCAGCCAGACAAAAACCTTTTCAGGTGTGCACAAAGCAGCCACCTTTTGCACTGAAGTCATCACAGCTGCTTAGAGCTCCTTGATTTGAACAGGTAGGACTTTATCTCTTTAAACAAAACAAAAATCCCAACAAACACCAGAAAGAAAACCATTCAACAAAACCCTCAGTATTCTATTTTTAAAAATAAAAGATAAGGGTGTAGTTCCTGCAAGTAGATGACAAATAGAGGCCTGCCCGTAGTTTGTTTAAACCACTGTACAAAATAAAAAGACAATGTGACTATTAAAAGTCTCTAAAGTTGTATATTTTTATGCTTTTTGATTCAAGGCCAGTCACACCTGGAATACACATGTTTACCTGAGCAGCTGATAGCGTTTAGCTTTAACAAGTTAGAAGATTTACTATTTGAACCTAAACATTCTCATATTATGCCTTCCTACTAACTAGACTAAATTCACACATAATTTTAACCTGCGTTATTTTTTTTAAAAAATAAAATAATTCTCTTTTAGTCTGTAAAATTAAATTTATAAAGAGGGTACTTTTACAAATCAGATTACTCTTTGGAACTTTATATGCAAATACATGAAACTGAACTTCACTATAAATATGCAAATGGAAAAAAAGCTTCCTTTCATTAATCCAACCCAAAAGCTTGTGTTAATCTTGCAGTTCAACAGCTTTAAAGGAAAGTATTAGAAACACACATCAGTATTTTTTATATTATAAACACAAAACTCAGGAAATCAAGTTAACTTTATAAAGGTAGCGTGCATTTTAAGTGACGATATTACAAGCATGGGATTCCTGTGGAGAACTAAAATCCTTCATTTGAAAATACAAAGCAAAATTAATTACAAAACACAGTTTGAGTGAAAAGTATTCTTGCAAAGAGTTCTTAGAAAGGATCACCTTGAATGCGTTTAATGCCGAGGAGATGCCATAACTTTTCTTCACACAAAAGCAGTCATCAACAGAGCACAACCAGATGTTAAGTTTTCTTTTCTTAGTTTCTGTAAACCTCTGTGACCTTCCTC